GGCCCTGCCCACGGCGCGGGAGGGGACATGGAAGGTGTTTAAGGTGCCTCTCTCGGCACAAACCGATCTCTGGTTTATGTGCTGTTTATTTGTTTAGAGAATCTGTGATTCTGTAGAGTGGCACTGCTGCACAGAGGATAGAGCGGTCTCAGCCTTTCATGGGATTGTGGAATGGTTTGGGTTGGAAGGGACCTTAAATCCCATCCATAGGCAGGGACACCTTCCACTGTCCCAGGCTGCTCCAGGCTCCATCCAGCCTAGCCCTGGGCACTGCCAGGGATCCAGGGGCAGCCACAGCTGTGCCAGGACCTCCCACCCTGCCAGGGAACAATTCCTTCCAAATATCCCACCAAAATCTACCCACTGTCAGCTTAAAGCCATGCTCTGTGTCCTGTCCCTCCATCCCTTGTGCCCAGTCCCTCTCCAGCTCTCTTGAAGACCCTTTAGGTTCTGGAAGGGACTCTGAGGTCTCCCTGGAGCCTTCTCTCCAGGTGAATGCACCACTGCTCTCCCAGTCTGGCTCCAGCCTTTGGAGCATCTCCAGGCATTCCCTGGAAACTCCCTGGGCTCTCTCCCACATGTTCATACTCATCTTATGCTAAGGACCAATGCCTCACTACCTTCACAATAAATTTCTTCCAAAGATCTAACCTAAATCTATCTTACAATTTTTCTTCCCATCCCTCTTTCATCTAAATATTTCCCGGTATTAATTATGATATCCTCTCCTTTCTTCCCCCCCCAACTCCAGCTGGGATGCTGCCTACGAAAGAGAACTGCAAACTTTTCAAGACATTGGAGATACCGGGGAAATCTGGTAAACAAAATAACTTCTGCAGAGTGTTTCTGTAGTTTCTTTACCGTAAAAGACATTGCAAAACCACAGCCAGCAATTCAATGAGTTGGTGACAAAATGATGGGGAGTTTTCCCATTGAAACCAGCAGTTCCTCTCTGGCCCAATTTCGCAGTGAAGATTGCTCAGCTGCACTTGGACAAGTGTCATTACACAGAAATTGAGCTGGTAATTGAGCTGTATGTTACTGGCAAATGTGCTTTTTATCCCTGAGCTCAGGTTTAACTACACAAGTTGCCCTTGCTGCTTCCTTTTTTAATATAGGGATGTTTTCACCTGCCAGAGTTGGATTTTCAGTGAATTTCAAGGCTGCAGGATTCATTTTCATCTGAACAAAGCAAACATGAAATATGAGCTATGGCAGCTTTTACTTGAGTAACAATGAAAAGGGCTTTGCAAAAGCTGGAGAGAGTGAGAGATGAAGTAAACTTGCTGTACCTTTTGCACATTTTTTTTCTGGTTTAATTACCTGAGCCCTTGTTTTTTGCAGGTTTGGAGAGGAAAGCATGGTGCGCATAATCAGGTGGCTGGAAAAGCACAAGGTCCCCCTTGACAGCTCTGTGCTTGACATTGGGACTGGCAATGGTGTTTTACTGGTTGAATTGGTTGGTATTTTGCCAAGTTTGTGTATTTTTTTATACAGAATCAGAGCAGTTTAAATACAGTTCTCACACGTGGCAGTGGTGGTCATGTAACCTGTGTGAAACACCAAGAGTGTCAATACTTCAGGCTTCAAAATTTGAAGTCTTTCTCTAAATCAATCAGCCTGAGCATCTCTTGTTTTAACTTTACCTTCCTGTTTCCCCACATTTAAAACTGCATTTCTTCCCACTGTTGTTTAAACTCCCCCAGATAAGGAAGTTAAGTTGGTTAATTCACAAAGTACCCTCATGTACAAAACCAGACCCTTTCTCTGCACACATTTCTGATAATAGCACTCATTATTGATACAAAAAAGAAGGTAAACCCAAGGGATTTTATGTAAATAACTTTAAAAGTTGTTCACACTTCTTTTAAAGAAATGTCCATTTCTGTCAGGGTGGGTGGGAAATCTGACCAGGTGTGTTCTGAAGTTTTTGTTGTGCACAAGATGTTAATGAATTCTAGTATTTTTTTCCTGGTTTTGATTGATGATTTTTGATGTAATACTGCAGGGGAGTTGGTAAAAAAGGGGCTGTCACATTGTCACAATTTCTGTTGTTTTGCATTCTCCTTTGACTCCATTAGTTCCTGTAGGAATTGGAAGGACTGAAAGTCAAAGTCTGGTTTGAAGTGGAATTTTTATTTAACATGGACTTTGATTTTAGAAGATTTTAAAGCCTTTATGGAGACTTACTGCTACACCACAGCACAGGAGAATTTATGTCACCAAAAGCAGAAATTGCTCATCTCACTAAGAGAAATTAGCCTGATAATGGTGATTGTTGAGAGCAGTGATAGCTCTATCATGGTTGAAGTACCCAACAGAAAAATCTTATTTGTAAGACTTCCATTTTATACTGACTCCACTGGCAAATGGGAGCTGATTTTTCATACTATAATGGGCAAATGACAGCCTGATAGCTTTTAAAAACTATTAACTCCTGTGAGAGCACCCTCCTCCCTTACATTAAGCACCTCACAGTACTGTGGTTTCTTTCACAGGAAATTGTCAGTCCAGTTCCCTCTTGAAGAGTGGCTTCAAAAATTACCTTGTTTATTTTTGCTGAGTAATTCAGCATCTCACTTGCTTAGTTGATGTAAAAGGAATTTTTTCTGTGCCAGCTGCAAGGCTTGGAAATCAAGTTGGAATTCTTTTGGCTGCTACCATAGGAGTGTTCTGCCACTGGAGTTGGACTTCATGATGGGACAGAAATGGCAATACTGGAAAAAACTCAGTCATAGAGGACATGAGTAGGAGCTCTCTGCAAGGGAGCTGCTTGAGGGTACAAAAGTATCACATAAGTGGCACCCCTTGCTGTTTTTATTATCCCTGTGAACTTCAGGGATCTGGGAGCTTGGATTCATGACATAGTTCTTTTGCCTTCCAAAAATTCCAGCTCTTCTGAGGAAACCTTGCTGCCACAGAAAGCTCCGGCCTCCTCTTGTATTCATAAGTAATATGGGAGCCACCACTATTGAAGATTGAATAATCTCTGGAGTGGGGAGTGTTCACCAAATGGGGGTGTCAGCCCTGAACACAGGGCAGAGCTGATAATGTTCCAAACTCCTTCTGCTCTTCAATCTTCTGCAGCAGCAGCAGCAGCACAGAGTGCTGCAAATCCCCTCCAGGGCAGCTGCAGGGTGCAGTGTGCTCACGTTTGGCACGAGTGAGGGATCCCTTCCTGTCACAGTCAGGCCCTACAGGTTCTGCAGCATTTAATGTTGTTTATCTCTAAACCTTCCTTCTCTGCCCCCAGACTAGAGGAGTGAATGGGAACTCCCTCAAGTGACTCAAGCCTTTCCTTTGCAAACAGAGGAGCTGTTGTGGGAACCATTCCTCCACCCCCAAACCTTCAGCACAGGCATCTGAGGAAGCCTGCTTTGCTCCGGGGAGGAACGTGGGCAGGAGCCTGAGCAATAAATGTTCTCCATCCCATGCAAACAACAGTGGCTTTGTGTTCAGCTGCAATTAGCCCTCAGTTCAGAACAGCTGGTTAGCACCGAGCTCAGGCCTCAGGGGCTGCTGCAAGGAGGAAGGACACTTGTGGAAACTCCTCATCCTTTTCCTGGCAATTGGGGTGTCAGCCTCTGGAACAAGCAGACAGGCAGCTGGTTGCTTAACAGCACTCCATGTGTTTTTCCAAAGCCCAGCCTCCTCCCTGTCTGTGCTGTGACAGCCTGCAGCTGGCCAGAGGATCAGAGCTCTTCCATCAGGTTTGGATCTTGCCAGACACGTGGGGTACCCCGAGTTTGTACCTTCTACCCCAAGCTGGTCCCTTCAGCCTCTGCCTCAGAGCCAGGACGTGTGTCCCTGCTCCCCTCCCACGTGCCCAGCTCCAGCTGATGCCAGGAGCCCACCTGCTTTGCCAAAGGGCTGCTGGGATCTCACTGAGTTCCCTAAACTGAGTTATCCTTATCTCCAACAAACTTAGATTAACAAAGTCTCTGTGTGCTATTATATGTGGTGCATAACCTGCCTGAAAATTGCTGATACAGACACCTGGCAGCATGCAAATAGTTGTATTCAAATAGACATTAGCATGAATAATTAGAAAAATGTATGATTTTGCAGTGGATTTCTGTCCTAGTGCAATGTATTACATCTTTTGGCTCTTAAAATTTGGGTTATAAACTAAAGAATTGCTCAATCTCCCATGGTACATGTCAGAGAGGTTTTTTCCCCTTATTTTGCAGCATCTGTCACATGTCATCACTGAAAATTCCTGGTTTCTAAGTTACTTTTGGTGCAGATAAGAGAGCCCCTCCAGGGTGTTACTTTTCCCAGTTGTGCTCAGTTTTCCACTTGACATAAACCAGCTTTCAGTCACCAGTCGTTTTGGTGAGGTTTTTTTGGCAGAATAAAGTTATTTCAGCTCATTCAGCTATTGAGCTCTTGTAATGGTAACAGGTATAAAAATGCCTAAAAGGTGAGTTGTGGTTTTTTTCCTATTATTAAGAGGAGGAGAAATGAGATGGATTGTAGGTAGGGAATGTTCTGGCTGGATAAAAACAATTGCTAGTACACTGATTAAGATTCTCTGCTTCTGTCTAGGCAAAGTCTGGCTACATGAATCTCACAGGGATTGATTATTCACCTTCTGCAATACAGCTTTCAGAAAAAGTGAGAGACAAAGAAGGGATGTCTAACATTAAATTAAAGGTAAGTCTTGAGAGAAAGGTAATTGAGGAAATAGAAAGCAATTGAGCTCAAGATTAAATGAGCTAATTGATATTCAGATGTACTCAGTGTACTGAATGAATGATGTCTTTTGGGATTCATTTGTGAGAGATCTCTACCCAAATAAATCTGTTTATGGGAAGGCTTTTGGTCCTTATTTGTTTTTTGTTTGTAATAGTCATTAAGGCTAACAAGAGTTTCCCTGCTTGGAGCAGGGTAGTGGTTTACCAAGTGGCAAGTTCTGTATTTTAGCTGCTACATTCTGAATTTCAGACTTGAGGAAGAGGAAGAAATCCTTAAGTGTTGAATGCCTACCATTAGCTGAACAACAGGAGGGTTGAGAGGCCTTGCTGGAGCAGGGGTGGGAGCAGATGACATCCAAAGGCCCCTTCCAGCCTCAGCCATGCTGGGATTGTGTGTCTGTGTGTTGTGAGCTCTCTGCTGTGCTGTTGTACCCTCCTGCTCCCTGCCTGTGTGATGTCTCTGCTCATCACACAGCTGTAAAATCTCTTAGTGGCAGCCTCTGTCTGTTCTCCTGCATTTGTGCAGTGCCTGGCACATGGCAGGGATCAAAGTACAAATAGTGATTTAAAGAGTGAGCTTCAAGTGTGTTAGTTTGAGCTTTAGATTCCAGCACACAGATCATCACTCAATGTGTGGAGAAGAAAGAAGCTGCCGTGGCTCTGTGAGTTACCCCTCCCTGAGCACACCCATTGTCAGCATTGAAGCTTTGCGTCCTCAAGTCTTGCTTTGCATTAAAGATTCAGCAGCAGAAGATTGTTCTCACAGCTGCAGACTTCTGCTTTAGGTAGAAGACTTCCTGGCCCCCTCAGCTGAGCTGTCAGGCTTTGACATTTGCATCGACAAGGGGACTTTTGATGCCGTCAGCCTGGACCCCAGTGATGCTGCGGGGAAGCGAAGGCTGTACGTGGCATCCCTGGGCAGGGTGCTGAAACCAGAGGGCTTCTTCCTCATCACCTCTTGCAACTGGACCAAGGAGGAGCTGCTGGACGAGTTCAGAGAAGGTAGGCAGCTGAGCAGAGCCCTCTGCCAGCGTGGGGTTGCTGAAGGAAGGGATGAGGGAATTTTAATGTGTGTGTGTGTTAGCATATTGACTTTCCCAGATCAGGATTAGAGGAGGTGGAGCGATTAGTAAATGCTCCAGCCTGTCCTCCCTCTGCTTTCCTCGGGAATTACCACTCCTGTGTTTGCCAGTGCCAAGGGAGGACAGGTTTGCTGACGCTTTGGAGGTTGGGAATTTCAGTCTAATTACCCTGGGAAAGTGTGTGTGTGGCTGGCTGATACTTTTTGGGTACTTGATTACCAGGCCCAGTTCACCCTTTGATTGCTCCGAAATTGGGGTAACATTGTTACCCATGTTTAGGGGAACTGGCAAGTCTGTGACCTTTTCTATCACTTTTGATCCACTTAGGGGGGTTTTTTTACATGCCAGTCAGCTCCTGAATCTCATGCCTGAGGCTTGAAACTCAGTGTGGATCTGAAACAACCACCCCTTCTGGGGAACCGAAATTACTGGCAGGTTCTCATCTTTTCTGCCATTAATTTGTGCAAGTCAGCCTGCTAGGATTTTTATTATCCATGGAAGAGTTTCAGCTGTATGGAGCAGTGGTGCAGTGTAACAATACAGTCCTATAAACTCACAGATTAACTGACTTGCAAGTTTTCCAGACGAATAAAGAATGGTTTGCAAAGGGTTATCCAAGAGGTGAATAAAACAACTTCCTTCTAATAAAAGCATTTCAATTTCTGTCTGGCAGGATTTGAAGTTCTGGAGGAGCTGCCAACACCCAAGTTTTGCTTTGGAGGAAGAATTGGAAACAGTGTTACAGCATTGGTTTTCCAAAGGAAAAAAGTGAGGCCGTCCATCTTGGACAAATTAGATTAGATGAGAAAAGTCTGAACTTTAAACCTGACAGAAAACCTCAGACACGTGTGTAAATAAATGCTTTTGGAGTGCACAGTAAAATACTATGTATGGAGCTCTGAGGGACTATAAAACATTGCCCTAGAAACATTTCAGCTTTGCATCATTTCCCCATAAATTGTGTCCTTGCTACAACCTCACTTGTTTCAGGGAAGCTGCAAGTTTGCAAGAGAGAGGAAAATCAGATGTGCTAAATACAGAGACCAATATAACTGAATGATATTTGTGTTTGAAATATAAAGATTGTCTGATATTTAATTTCTGTGCTGGTAAGCAGTGACCTATAGAGGTAAAGGTATCCTACAAAGCAAAAATCTCATTTCTCTCTTGTGCAGTGGAATAGGGAACAAGCTTTTGCAGTGTAAGTGCTGGCTCTTTAATGAACACGAGGGTGGCTGGTAGGGAGGGAAATGAATACAAAATCCACAGCACTTTCCAAAAAGGACCAGTTGGTACTTTAAATTCAGATTTTCAGACTTAGCATAATTGTGTCTCCTCTGAAGCAGCTCAGCTCTTTTCCCACAGAGGGAGTTTTTTAAGTCTCCCTTTGCTGAGTGTGTTCATGCCTGGTCAGTTCCTTTCCCTGATCTCATGAATACATAAAGGTGTGATGTTGCAGCCTCTGGTGTGTGACATGTGCCTCCTTCATTATTAACCTGCTGTATGGGAATGTCTTTGGAGCCACAATGACAAGAAGTTTTCCAGTGAATTTCTCAGGGTGGATTTTAACTGCATAAATCCAAAAGAATTCAAAGCATAACTATCCATTCCTTATGCTTTTTTATATGTGTTTTTTAAACTTCTGTGTGCAATCCTTTTGCTCAATTTCGTTGCCTTCATTTCTTCTGTTTTGTAATCTCAGAATATTGCTGTTGCTTGAAAGGCAGGAAAATGAGATTTCTTCATGCCTCGACAAACACATTTGCAGGTGACAATAAACTTGTTCTTTCAAACATCAAGGAGGCCCTCTTAGGCAATCAGGTTTTGTTTCACAGGCAAGGTCATGTTTGCTTATCAGGGAATTGCTTCTCCTACTTTCCATGCTTCTCCTCATTCCCAGGGCTCAGGAGATCTTTAAGGGTCAATAAATACTTCCAGTCCTTTCCCAGGATAGGAATCAAGGCATTCTTTTGCACAGTGGTGAGTCCTCCCTCTGTGATCCATCTGTTGATGTTTTCAAGATAGAAATCTTACTGCTGCATCTTTTTTGTAAAATTAAATATACTCAATCGAGAGAATGGTTTATCAGCAGTGCTGAAAAAAATTCAGTCCCAGAATGATTTTTTGTATATTTGGTCAGAGTTGGGTTCTAACCTGAGTGCCAAAAGCAAGGGTTTGTTACCATTTGTTGTAGTTCTGTGTTCTGCCCCTGCCCAGCAGCCAGCTGGAATGCTAGGAAATGTAACTGGGAATCCAAACAGAGAATTTTTTTTTTTAGCATAGTAGCACAAAGGATTCAAAGTACAATGCTGATAACAGCCTCAGTAAAAAGCCTGTGGCATTTTTGGCATCAGGTGCAGTTAATACAAGGAAATTTTAATTTTCAAGGACTCTGGCAGGATGTGTTTTGGGCATCTGTTTTATTCCCATCTGTAATTTTTGCTAATGAAGTCATGATGTGTATTTAATCATGGGATGAAAATAAAATCAGGACTGTCATGGATTTTCTTTTAATCAATTACTTGGAATTTAACCATAGATTCCCACTCCACAAGATATGGAAGGGTCAGGGCAAGGATTGTTTTCTCCACTTCACAGAATTGATTATTATTAGTTTTTGTTCTCTGGGTAATATTTTTATATAACTTGTAAAGCTGAAAAATAAGCTTCTTAAAATTGCCTGAAAATAAGGATTTCTGCATCTGATCTGTAGTTTGCATATTCCTTCAGTCCCAAGCACTTCCAGGTGTCACTGGAGAGCAGAAAAATGCTTGTAAAAGATGTTTTAGGAGCTTTCTTTTAAGGCAACAGTAACCAAAGGCTTACTATTTAAAATCTGCTCTGTTGGGAACCTGGCATTTTCTGGATAATGGAGTCTGGGAAGCTGCTCCAATACTGACTTAGGCAGTGGGGTATTTTTGGCTATGAGGATTTGGAAATGACTTGTCCAAGACTGTCCTTGATTTGGGGCAGTTCATGAAATGTTGATGCATTTCAGTGGAAAAAAAAAAAAACCTTGGAAAAAGAGGCAGAGGAAAAAGCAGTGATTTAGGAGGAGCAAGTCTTTGCTGGAAGCTGGGGGAGTGCTCCATGATGGTTCCTGAGGGTTGGAATCTTCATGACTGCCCAGCTGTGTGTGTGACTCTTGGTTGCAGCTGCTAAATGCAGGAGAATAAATGCAGCATTTGAAACACGTTTCACTCCTATTGTTTTGCTATCTGAAAACTCTGTCTGTGATTTCACTGTCAAATATGAGGTTTGTGGGTAGTAAAATGAGCATCTTCCATGGATCCCAGAGGTGGCTGAGCCCAAGGCTGTTCCTGCAGGACTGAGTTTAGGCTGGGTGATGCTGCAGAGCTGGCAAACCTTCCTGCAGTGGTTTTGCATAGAGTGTGGGCAGAACAGAAAGGGTTTGTGCTCCCTGCTTCATTGACAACATGCTGAAGGGTGAAATTCTCCCAGGACTGACCTTTTGTTCCTGGTGGATTGAGGATGGGTTTTAGTGCCTGAGCCCAAACAAAGCACCTCCACCAACATCTGTGCCTGGTGCAGCTCAAACCTGGCTCCTGATGCCTCCTATTGCCATGAAAACTGAGTTTAGGGATTCTCTTCTGAGGCATTTACTGGGAGAGACCATTGAATTCATTGCAGGGTTTGTGCTACTGAAGGAGCTTGGAGCATTTTACTCTGGAATTTTATGGGGCTTATCACAGAGCTGAACTGTCAGGGTGAAATATCTGAGAGAGGTGAACAAGCGATATTAATGAAATAATTATTGATTGGAGATGTCTGTTCTAGGAGAGTTTCTACACATGGGACTCTGCTGGAGTGTCAGGTAAATGGGTTCTCAAGACAGAAAGCCTTTGCCCTTTCAGCATCACAATACCTTCTTGAAATAAGTACTCCTATAATCATTTTTATAAGGATTAAAAAGTGAGAAATACCAGACATGAAAATCATGGCACAACTGAATGAACACAGAAAATTCAGAGGGAAGGATAATGTTTCCTTACTCTTGACTTCCCTTTTGGTGACCAGGCTTGTTATCTGCAGGAGAGGCATGTTCATTTGATGGCCCTTAAGGAGTAGGAATAGTTAAGGAATCCCAGAATTTGGGTTGGAATGGACTTTAAAAACCATCTCATTCCAACCCCTACCATGGGCAGGGACACCTTCCACTAAACCCTCCCCAGCCTGCCCTGCAGTGCTGTCCATAGGCTGCTTTACTAAAGGTTGATTTTTCTTTTTTGAAAGCTTAAGAGATATGAAATGAATATTCTATTTTTGAAACTCAGTATAATTTTGTGGTGTAACATGAAGAATTTCTGGGAGCTACAACTGTTTTTTAAGAGCTGTTGGGTTACATCAGAAACACCAACAGAATTATGGCAGCTGCTGTTCCAGCCAGGGCCAGCAGTGATGCAGCATGTGATTGCAGGCTCTCTGTCCCATCAGGAGAATATTCCTGCAAATCATTATTGAGAGCACTGTTGCAAAGCATCACTGAGGCTGAAATAGCTGTTTGCATTATGGGCTCACCTTCTGGAATCCAAACCCACTGTTGCAACAGCATTTCTGAAATCTGGGAAGAGCCAGCTGCCTTGATTGTATCACAGGATTTGAGGTGTTTAACACCTATAACAAAGGAGATTCAGGGTTGTGGGGGTTTCTTTGTTTGTTTGTTTGGTTTTTTGTTTACTTTGTACTTTTCCAGCCAATATTAAAAAGGAGCTTTCAGATATTTGGGGTTTTAAACCTGCAGTTGCTGTTTACAACTCATTATACCTGGGTGAGGAAGTGCATGTCCCACCACACAGATCTCAGGTGTGATTCTCTGGAGAGCAAACAATATTCTCTCTTACAGTCTGTGTCAGAATTATTTCAGTTCTTCACTGGCTGTGAAATCTGTGAGCCCAAAGAGTCAAATGAACGGGCAAATGAGGGGATGAACTGAAATCCCTCAGTAGAACCACTGGGTTTGTTCCCAGGAGTGCAGGCTGAGGCCAGGTGTGCAGGGCACAGCACCCAGATACCTGCAGAGCTGCACAGCTGAGCTGACACAGCCTCTCTGGAGTTATTTTTATGTAAGGACAAGTTCTTGAATAGCTTTTCTGCTGCATTAGGCACAGCAGGCTGCTCTCCATCGCTGACAGTGGCTTCCATGTATTTCTGCATTCCAGGAATGCACTGGCAGCACTGTAGCCATTGTGAGGGAAATCTGCCTGTGCATATACTCTGCTGTGAGCCAGGGTGCCTGGTGTAAGGCTGCCAAATTTTGTGTTATTTCATACCAGACAAAATCTTTAAGCGTGGTATTTAGCAACATACAGCAAAATGTTCAGTGTTTTGGCACTGGGATTTCTTCCCTGATCTTAGCCTGGCTAGAGGTGCAGAGCATGGCTTGCTGCAACAATAACTGCTTCATTTTATAGGCCCTCCAAGCATTTTAATGTATGGAATCATCCCCTGTAAAATAGGAGAGCACAAAGGAAATAATTGGGCCAGGGCTTTGCAAAGCAGTGTGGGGATCTGCCTTTGAATTCCTGTTGCTTGCTGCCTTTTCTGGGATGAGAGGAGGGGGAGCTGCCCTGCCCAGCCTTACCTGCTTGGCTGAGGGGGTGGTGAAGGGTTCTATCCCACGCTTTGGCTGCAAGGAGGTTGAGCATGACCTAACCCTTGTGGTGGCAGCTAAATTGAGGAGCAATTAATGGCTACCAAGGGCTTTCAGTGAAAGGGGATGAGGTGTTATAGCCTCCAGACAAAGGAGGAAAAGGAACGCTGGCCTGTTTTGTTTAACACAAATAAGGGAAAAGCCAACCTGCAGCTTAATTTCCATTTGTTAGGTAACAGTATAGCTTGAAATGAGCCCATTTCTCTGTTACTGGAAATTAAGCTGAGTGCTGTCTGGCAAACCAGCTGCTGCCAGGTAACACATCAATTCTGGGTAATCACAGCAGAGCTAATAGAGCCCAGAGAGGGAACAGACACAAACCTCAGCCCAGTCACTGCAGCAGCCAGGTATGCATGGACAGTGTCATGTGTCAAGCAGAGGTGAGGAGAGTGTGCTTATTTAAAGAAATTTTAGCTGTTGATAGGGCTGAGAACTGAAATTCAAGCAGAAGGATCTTTCACCCCAATTTTCAGTAGTAATTAGCTTTGCTGGCTGCTGCCCTACCCCAGGGCTCCTCAGCTCCATGGGTGCTGCACTGCTGCTTATCCCAGGTAGGGTGATGCTTTGGGGCATGTCTGCAGCTGCCTCAGGCTTTGTGGATGATGGAAAAATAACTCTGGGCTTATCTTAAACCAATTCAGACCCAAATATGACTGACAAAGTGATGAGCACATCCAGACTCCCATATGTACTTCATGGCCTATTTATTTTATCCATCACTGTTTCCATTGCTCCCAGTCTGGGGCACCCAGATCAGGTGTCACACCCTCTGCCAAGGCAGGGGAGGAGGCAGCAAACACAAAGCTCTTAGAAAAAGAGAAAATAGCCTGTGTGTGCAGAAAATAGCCTGTGACATAAAAAAAAGAGATTTTTAAGTTTGGTGGAAATCCCACAGTATACCAAATGCAGTCAGAACTACACTCCTTATCTCAGCCCTCTGCTCAGCAATGCTTCACCTGTTTAGGGTGTCTGTGATTCAGGAACTTTCTGATACAGAGCACCTTGACCACATTACAGAGATATGCTCATTCCCTGGGAGTGAAATATTTATTAAAAATACTTCTGCTTGCTGTTATAAGGATTTTGTGGATTTGAGGATTTCCCCTGAAGGTGAAGGGTGTTCCTGGAGACCTTTGGTGTCGACAACATGTCCCTGTATGTGGCTCCCAGCACAGCTGGGTGACAGGGACATCAGCCTGTGGCTGGGACTCTCTGACTCTCTGGCCCTTACCTGTGTTCTTTGCCTGGCAGAGAAGCAGAAGGATAGACCCATAAATAACTGGGATGGCTCAGGTGGTCAGAAGGACAGTGCAGAGTCCTTGTGAAAGGCACAAACTTCTGAAATTGTTGGTGCATATGACATGAATAACAGCAAACTGGAGAGACAGCGAAGCGTTGGAAAGGCTACACGGAAAGAAGGCTGTAACTGCAGCCAGATGCTGTGTACAGGGAGTGAAGGAAATGCTGTCTATCCACAGGGCTTAGCACTGCTACATTAACATGTCTTAATGGCTTGGACCCCAGAATCACTTCAGAAGGACCGTGGGGATCATTAGATTTTTTCCTATCCACGGTTTCCATCCCCATCAGGAAGGCTCCCAGTCAGTGGGTAGCAAAGGCACTGACATCTGAGACAAAACCACAAATTAAATCAGCTCACAAATGAACTGAATGAATTTTCTGTCCATGAAGAATAAACCCTCTTGGCCAGTTCTTTAAAGCTTGAAAGTTATTTATTTTCTTCCCCCCCCTTCTGACAAAGGGAAAAAGCACTGTCAGGAACCAGGGCCTTTGGGCAGCCAGTTATTTGAACAACATTACTGAAAATACTGTCTGTGCAAAACAGGTTTGTGCTTCAGCAACAGGCTTTCACACGTGCTGGGAATTCTCCACAGCCAGCTCATCTGTTGGGAAGCACAGAGGATGAGAGGCACAAAATGCTGGGTTTGGAGCGAGCTGCAGAAGCAGACAGAAAACAACTTTCTGCTTGAGTCTTGGAGCCCAGGGCTGCCACGGGAATGGATTCAATTATGCTCTGAGCTTTATTGCTGAAATATTCCACTGGGAAACCATAAAAAAACATTTTCAGACTTGATTCCCGAAGTTCTGGAAAAGGAGTTAGCAAGTGTTTTATTGCTACCAGTCTCAACACGTGATAAGAAAAGCAAATACTGAGTGGGATGGAGGAACATGATGCAAAAGCCCCTTCACATCATCAAACCCTTCTCCCTGTTCATCACCCACTCAGACTGGCCACTCCTGCTTAATTTTATGTGTACTGAGCACGAAGCCACTTTTGTTGAGATCAGCCCTCACTGTGTTGGTGGGAGCTGCTCCTTTGTTAAGTATCTGCCCGCTACTTCTGCTTCCCTCCCTCTTTCTTCACTGCATTCAATCCTGAGTGGCAAGGCTTCCTCGACAGTAATTTGTTGTCCTGGGCAGTGCCCAGGACCTGGAGCCCTGCTGAGCTCACAGCCACAGCCTCTCTTGCCATTCATGCCCTTACTTGTCCCTCACTTGTCCCTGCATGCCATCCCCAGCCCTGTGCCCGGCCATCCAGCCGGGTGGATGAAATTCAGCCCCAGATTCATTCCTGATGGCATCTGTGTTGTCTGCTCGCATATGTTTAAGATTAATGTTTGGGCTGTGTTTTGTAATGAGCCCTAAATCTTCCTTTTAGCTGTCATGTCGTTTCCTTGTTCGCTCGTTACGCTCGCTCTCGGAAGGAGCCCGCATGCTGTGCGTGGTGCAGCCTGGCTGGATGGAAAATGTCACTGAGAGCTCAGTGCTGCTACAGGCCATTGCCACGTGAAGCCAAGCAGATGCACCTCTAGTACTGCAGGGGACTCATGGCTCCTTCCTAAACGGGATTCAAGGGAACTAAGAGGGGCTTGGGACAAGGGGCTGGACTGACAGGACAAGGGGGAACAGCTTCAAACTGACAGAAGGCAGGGTTGGATGGGATATTGGGAAGGTGGGCAGGCCCTGGCACAGGGTGCCCAGGGCAGCTGTGGCTGCCCTGGATCCCTGGCAGTTCCCAAGGCCAGGCTGGACACTGGGGCTTGGAGCAGCCTGGAACTGTGGAAGTCATCCCTGCCCATGGCTGGGATGTGGAACTGCTTGATCTTTAAAGGTCTTTTCCAACCCAAACCAGCCACTGATTCTATGAAAGGGTAACAAGAATTAAGGAGCGGGATTTTTGTTCACTAATGGGTGCAGGGGCGCATGGTGTCCATCTGTGATGCGCCAAAACTTCAGCGCTACTTCTCGCGGGGACCCTTCAGCGAGCTGCTGATGCGTCCGGTTCTGCTGCTCCTCCCCGGGCCGGCCGTGCCACCAGGAGTCACTCTCGGCCTCCGAACGGGCGGCGGAGCCCCAGGCGAGCCGCGCCCGCAGCATCCCGGGCTGCGGGGCCGAATGCGGGCGCTGCTGCCGCTGCCGGCTCCAGCCCGCGGCTCCCGCGGGACAGCCCCTCACCGCCGCCCGAATCACCCTTTTTCATTATTTTTGGGGTTTTCCCCATACACACACGCTCTTCCTGGCGATGTTTAACCCGGGGATGCCCGTTCGGGGCGGCAGCCGAGGGTCTCCCCCGCCTCCCCTCGCAGCGAGCGCTCCGGTGCGCGGCTCCCCGGGGCGGGCGCTCCGCAGGTGCGGGCCGGGCTCTGCCGGCGCTGGCTCCGCTCAGGAAGTGACAAGCACATTTCCTCCTCCTCCTCCTCCTCCTTCTCCTCCTCCTCCTCCTCCTCGCTCCCTCCCTCCGCCCGCCCCGCCCGCAGCACGGCGGCGGCGGCGGCAGCGGAGCGCGGTGGGAGCGGCGCCCACAGCCGGCCCGGCCGGGCCGCTCCGCCGCCCCCGCGGGACGCGCTCGGTAAGCGATGCCCGGAGCGCAGCGGGGCCCTGCAGCCCCGGGGGGTGCCGGGGGGCAGCGGACAAAGGGCGGCGGTGCGCCCTGCCCGGGCACGGGGCGGCTCGGAGGGGATGGGGTAGGACGGTGGTACCCCCGCGGCCGGCGCATCCCCGCGGAACGGGCTGGGGATGTCCGCCTTTGTGCCGTCGGGGCTCTCCCCGCCCCGGGGTGAGCGGGGTCACGGCGGAGGAGCCGCCCGGGCCCCGGAGGGAGCGTGCAGCGGTGGGATGCGTGTCCGGAGCGGCGGGGGCGCGGGATGCTGAGCCCGGCGTGCGGGGATGGGCGGCTCGCCGGAGTTTGGGAGCGGGCAGCGAGCGGTCCTCACCCGCTCCGAGCCCTCTTTGCCGCTGGAATGATTTCCTGCGAAAGGATCAACACGTGCTTTCCTTTCTGCGGGCCGAGAGTGCGGCTCCGGGGGGGCTGGAGCTCGGGTCCCGCCGGGCTCGGTGCTGCCCTGCCCGGTTCGGGGGCTCACGGGGGCTGAGCCGCGCCTGAGCATCCCCGCGGAGATGCTCCAGCTCTCCCAGGGCCCGCCGCACTTCCCACCGTGCCGTGCCTCGCTTTTCACTCCTGGCACGTGTGAGGCGGCTCGGGGCAGCCGGACAGACGGACAGGCCGGTCCTGGGGGCTCTGCAGCCCCCGGCGCTGCTGCGATGGGACACGGCAGCGCCTGGCTGTGCGCAGCGCCCTGGCACGGGGGGCTGCCCTGGAAAGCCTGCAAGTCTTGTTTCTCCATTCACTGACGTCAGGTTGATCGGGTTCTAAGGTACGTGAAGGTTTCACGTACAGCTGTACGCAGAGATTTCACGGCTAAGGGGCTTTTCCTCGATAATTTAAATTTCCTTGACTCGGAGAGAGTTTGTAACAGCGCCATGCCTGTCACTGGTTGTGCCGCTGCCTCTCGGTGCCGTGCGGTCTCCACAGACGCTGGTGTACCTTGGCAGCTCATCCCCTCCTTAGGAAATCCTCTGGAGTGAAAAGTGAGCGTAATTTGTTATGAAATAGGCTGATAGACAAAACTTCGGCTGGCGATTGAAACCAGATGTGCATATTTTCCTTTTGAATCCTCGAGCAATACTAAAAGTCTGTTTTGACAGATTAAAAACTACTTGCAAATTGCAGAGGTAGCAGTGTTTTGTGATAATCCAGTAAAAACACGGAGGGCTGCGAGCATCTCTGCCCAGTGCTGGGTATTTCTGAGCACAGGAGATGCTGCTGCCATCACAAAGCACACATTCCCTTGGCCTGCCTCTATCGTGGGCAGAAACATTTACCAGGGCTTGGCTGAGGGCTGGAAAAAGAAATAAAGAAACCCCAAAACAGTGTAGATAATGTTTCTAGAGAAAATATTTGGGGTGGGTCATGAAACAGATTAATTAGAGCGATAGTAAAAAACCTGAATTTCAGAGCGGTTTGCTCTGTCCGTACCTCTCGTGGCTCGGTGCAGGTTTGAAGCGAGCTTCTGATTTATTTCTTCATTTTTGGGAGTCCTGTGGAGCCTGAGGATGCTTGTGGTGGTGGGTGTGTCACACCAGCTCTGGCAGGGCCCTGCTCAGTGGGGCAGGATCAGGGCTGGAGGCACTTTATTGGGAGAAGATTGCTTCCAAAAGTGGGGGGAAAACCCAGCCAAAACAACCTGCCCTGGAATTGCTTCCTTCTCTGCACTTCCCCACCGTGCCCAGCACGGCCACGTGGAGCACGGCCACGCGTGCTGGGCTTGCTGCTGCATCCCTGGCTCCAGATTTCTCACTCCCAGCTTCCACCCAGAGGAGAGAGGGAGGGGAAACTTCTGTGACTTCCAGCTCTGCACAGGGCCGAGGTGTCCAGGAACCACAGTGGTTATAGAAAGCAGATGGCCTTTTGCTGTAAATGCAAAACTTTGCATAGAAAATCTGTGCAGATCAGTTCGGTGGGTAATTGATTTGTGTGAGTGAGATCCAGATTTTTGTATATGGAGATCAGGCAGACTGTGGGACAGAGCCAGCACCAATCTAGGTTAATTTTCAGCTATAGATACCTGCATAAATAAATACATGTGTATAAATATGCACACATGCAAATAGGCAAACATATACCAATAAAATTTCCCAAATCTGCATTGGTTAATTATATGCAATATTTTTTTTCTAGTAGTAGCAAAGGATTGCTTCACTCTCAGCAAAAGTATAGGCAGAACAAGATACACAACTTTTTGCCAAAACACCTGTATTTGTGTGCAGATCTGACACCATGGGCTGTGTCCTGAGGGGTGGGGAGGGGAATGCGCTTTATCCCACTTGTCTGTTTATTATTGCTGGTAAATTTCTGATTTCTCAAACGGCAGCTGTGTGGTTTGAAACTCTTCCTCCTTTTTTCTTTCTTTCTTATACTGTTACATAGAACTTTTCTTTTATTTGCCAGGATGGAGGTGGTTTGCACTTGCCTTGTAAAAATCTCAGATGGAAAAGAGGACACCCCAAGCTGAAAGGGTGGTTTTGGTTTTGTTCCCTTCCCCCTCCTGTGTCACGTGGCTTGTCAAAGGATGTTGCTGGGAAATTGTCCTTAATGAACATTAATCTGTGGCAGGGCAGACTTTGCACCAAGGGGCTGGGGCAGGGCGAGGTGCCAGAGATGCTCAGAGCTGTTTGGAGAGCTGGGTCCAGTCTCCTTCCCACACCCCAGGGCAGGGACGGGGCAGGCAGAGCCTTTGTGGCAGATCTGCACTCACCAAAACTCTGCTGGAGTGAAAATCCCTCCAGAAATACAAGTTTTATTCCCGTGGCCATGGGGCACCAGGGCAGCAGAGGAGCTGGGATGTTGCTCCTCTGCAGCTCCTCATGCAAACTCTCTCCTTGGCTGACGTTTTCTGCTCCTTTCTCTCCCAAAACGGGAGGAGGAGGAAGAGGAAGCAAGCCTGCTGACTCGGGGAAACAGAACTGAAAAAAAAATAAAAGCAGGTCTGCCGAGCAGCAGAGGGCTGTGAGAGCCGTGGGTCTCACGTGTGGGGGCAGCCACAGCTCCCTTTGCAGGGGTCCCCGCAGGGCTGGGCAAAAATACCACCAAAACAACAGCCTGCTCCTCAGAGAGCTAAATATAAACTCCGAGGGCCAAGAGGAGGGAATTTTCCACCGTGCTGCTCCTCTGTGCCTGCCAGCCTGCCCAGAATGAAGCCTGTGGCTGCTGCCCCAGGGGAGCTCCTGTCCCTGATCCCCAGCATGGCATGGCATGAGTGCCACCACTTTCTGCAGGGATGAGACCTTCTGAGAATTCCTTGGAATTGGGCAGACGTGAGCCCTGGAGCTCTGGTGCTGCCCACAGCTCTCCCCACGAGCAGTGGCCGTGTTGTGGCTGTGAAAGAGGATTTCTCCAAGGTCACCCTCTGTGCCTGCAGCTGCAGCCTGGCTGCCCATGGCCCAGCT